TACGCGGACCACTTTGAGGCCTCCCTGTCCCCTGCGGGGCTGCGATCTGGCAACTGTCGCCACTTTCGTAAGTTCCTGGGAGGCCCAGCAGAGGTACGTCCTACGCGGACCACTTTGAGGCCTCCCTGTCCCCTGCGGGCGCACCTGTCGCACCTGTCGCACCTGGCGCCCCCTGGCGCAGTGGACGCCCAAAAGGCAAACACGCCAAAAATATCAGTTTCCCAAAAGGAAATCTACGAGTTTTGCTTATTGGGATCCCCGATCCTCATCGTTCGCACGCCATGTTCCGGAGGAGCGTTCCTGGAGCACGGGGCGCCAGAGGCCCCCCCGCTCTCCCCCCCTCCCTGACTATCCTGCCGAGGAACTCTTGGGTTGCGCAGGGCCGGTCTCGCGGGCTCCCTGGGGCTTCCCGGGCCCGCCCAGGGCTGTTTGGGAACGGACCTGGAGGCGCGCTGGGCCCCATTGGAGCGTCGGAAAGCCGAACAGACAAGAAGGCCAGGATCCTCCAATTCCTGAGTTAAACGAACGATTTTGGCCTGTTGGGACCCTCTTGGGGGGTGCTCCTGGAGGCGTCCTGAGCCATGTTTGAAGCCTCTTGGGAGCTATCTGAAGCCCCCTGGGGCTCTCTTGAAGCGGAAGCCCTGGGTTTTCCGAGCGCGGTCCGTCTCTTGGACACCTTTCGGGCCTGTTTGGGGCCCTCGTGGGCGGCCCTGGGCGCTTCTTGGGCCAGCCTTGGGCCCTCCGGGACCGCCTCGGGGCGGCCTTGGGCGCTTCTGGAGCTGTTTGGGAGCGGTCTCGGAGGTCTCCTGGGCCGCCTAGGAGCGTCGGACAGCCGCCGAGATCAGAAGGCCAACCCTCCAAGACTATTGAAAAAATCAATGTTTGGCCTGCTGGGGCCCTCGTGGGAGTGCTTTTGGAAGCGTTTGGAGCCATGTTGGAGGACTCTTGGGGGCCGCCTGGGGCCTCCCGGGTCACGCAGGGAAGGGGGCAGGGGGAAGAAGGCCAGAGAGCGCTGAAGGATACAAATACTGGAACCCTCTTGTGATTTTGTGGGGGCCTCGTCCGGCCGCTCGCTGGGAGTTTGACGTAGCTTCTCGGGAGCCTCTGAACCTGTCGGGGGCCTCCTGGAAGCAGGTTCGAAGCATTTTGGGGGCCGATTTGGGGCTTCTCGGGGCCTCCTTTTTGGGGCCCTTGGGGGTCTCCTGGGGCCAAAGTCTGTGGGCCCTCCTATCCTTGGGCCTCCGTCCGGCCTCTTGGGGCGGAAGCTCGAAAAAATAAAAAAGCTTGCGGTTCGCGTGGTCCCCCTCTGGGCCCCTCATCGGGCCTGGTCTTTGGCCCCCTCCTTGGGGCATCTTGGGCGCCTCTTTTGGGCCTCTTGGGGGCCCTCTTGGGCTGTGTCACGGGCCCTCTTGGAAGCTTCTTGGGTCTTGGTGGCCGTCTTGGGGCGGTGTCTTATGGGCGCCTCTTGGGCCGTCTTGGACGCGGTGAAAGCCCAAGAGGCGAACATGCGAAAACTATACGTTTTCCCATAGGAATGGCACGATGTTTGCTTCTTGGGCCTCTCTTGGGCTGCCTCTCGGATCGTCTTGGAGGCTTCTGGGACCTTCTTGGTGTCATGACAGGCGTCTTGGAAGGCATCTGGAGCCATCGGAGCGCGTTCCGAAGCCGCCTGCGAACGATCTTGGACGGCGTCCAGCGGTCCGACGAGCCCCCGGGCCCCCCGGAGCTGGTCGGGGTCCCGGCCCCGGGCCCCCGGACCCGGTGCGCCGTTATATGTATACTAGAACCACGCGCGCGCTTCGCGCGCGCTTAGGTTCTGCCCTGGCACGAGCATCGGATGCGCCGCGGAGCGAATGAGGTTGGGAGCGGTTGCAGGAAAAGCTGTGGATAACTGGCTTACTGAGGAATGCCAGGCATATAATCCAGCCACTGGCCCTCGTAGACATCGGCCCTCTCGATGAGAAGGAGCAGTTGCAGCATGATGACGAACAGCTCGCGGCCAGAACGTGAATGGAACGACTGAGAAATCACCCTCGAGCCTCGATCGTCGAGCGCCGATGAACCGTCGAACGCCGATGGACGACGGATGCGGCGTGGGCGAGGACGACAGAGAGGTCAACGACGACAGACGACAACAACGACTACGACGACGACAGTGACTACGACGCAACCCTGCCCTGCGAGCCAGCACCGGAGTAGCCGTGACCCCCCAAGCTAGCTCAATCGCCATAAACAAAGACTCAAAAAACAGATCTCGCAGGAGCCAGCACCGGGGTAGCCGTGACCCCTCAGGCTCGCGGCCAGAACGGGAATAGTACATCGGAGAAAACCCACCTCGAACCTCCATCGTCGACCCGATGACCGACGGATGCAACGTGAGCGACGCATGTGGGGTTGTCTGGTGACCCTCTAGGAGGCCTCTGGGACCGAGCCCGCGTGCACCGCCACTAAGCGGAGCCCGACCGTCGGCTCGAGGAGATGAATGAAAGCAAAAGGGTGAAAGATTCTCAGCCCTCCTGCTGTGGGCCTTCCTTCGTTTTGAACAGAGCGCTCTGGTCTCCAGTCCTCCCGCCTCCCTCCTCCTCTTCCCCCCTCTTCCTCTGATACTACACAACCAGGATACTATACGAGTATAGGCCTCACATATCCTTGTACGGCGCGTGTGGAACAAAGGGAAAGGCCCCCTGCGAAACCTAGTGTGCTGCCAGAAGGCACGAACGGGCCCCACCCCAGCTCTGCAGCCGCGAATGGGTCTGTGGGGCTCCCTGAGCGGCAATCACTACAATTGGATGTGGGGAATCAGCTCCTGTCGTCACTGATCTACTTACTCTGCTACCACAGTACTGCTGGTACCTCGGGCTGGCCCGAGCATCCACAACCAGCAGTATGGCAACCACGGGCCCCCTTGAGCTCCCAATGGGACCCCATCCAAGCTCTTATGGCGGCCCCACCTGTGACAGCAGTGGTCTTCGATTAGTGCATCTACCAGGACCAGGATCCCACTACCATCAGCAAAGCTCCCACGAGGCTCTTGGGCATCCGACACCCTGGGCTCTATCAGAGGTTCCACGACCGTTGTTCCCACCCAAGGGGCACCTATCAGAATCTCTGAGGCAAACCTCAAGACGGTGCCTTCAAAACCAGTTCTTAGAAACCTACCTGCCACGGATGTGTCAGGGACTTGCAGAGTCTATTGCGAATCATTCGCCGCATGTTTGTCATGAACCAGATGTTGAGGAGAGGCAGACTGTGACGACAGAAACCCACTCTCATCAATTGACGAAATGTTGGCAACACCATATGCCTGTTATGTACGCGACGTGGATCACAATTTCTCAGAGGCGCCCGATTTTGCCCCAGCCAGAAATAACAACATAATCAAACGTGCCGATCCTGATATCGCCAGATTCGTGGACCCCTTTTCCGAGGACGGACGGTATCCCTCTTGTGATCCTACTCCTGCTCCGACTCCCGCTATTGAGGGCTCCCTTCTTTCGCCCTGGCCCCCTGGAGGCCTCCAACGAAAAAGAAGATGTTGGACCCTGAGATGTCCTAGCGGTGGAGATCGGGGCCCGGGGGGCGTATACACACAAACCAATACATGGGGAGAAAGCACGAGCATGGCCCGTGGGATCTGTTTGCCGTGCACCTGTGACATGCATCTTGGGAGCCCTTTGGGGGCTTCTGGCAGCGTCTTGGGGGCCTCCCGGGCGCTTCTTGGAGCCTCCTGGGGGCTTTGGGGGGCCGAAGGCTCGAAAAGTCCGTTCGGATTCCCTGTCTGGGCCCCTTCTTAGAACCTTCTTGGGGCTATCTTGGACCGTCTTGGAGGCCTCTTAGGCTGCTTGGGTCCCTCTCGGGCTGTCTTGGGGCCGTCTTGGGAGCCTCTTGGGCTGTCTTTGGGCGATCTCGGGAGCCTCTTCTGCTATCTTGGAGCGTCGGGAAGCAAAAGGTGAGAACCACCAAATATTCACAAACACCATAGGACAACAACCATTTGTTGCCTCTTGTGGCCCTCTTGAAAAAAGCCTCTTGGAGGCCTCTTGGGTCGTCTAGGAAGCCTCTTGGGCCGTCTAGGGACTATCTTAAGCGTCTTAGACCGATCTTGTGGCGTCTCGGAGCTCTCATGGACATCTTGGGTGCTTCCTGGGGCCGTCTTGGAGGCCTCCTGGAGGCCTGCTTGGCCTTCTGGAGGCCCCTTGGAGGCGCCAGGGCGGGGGTATTAAAAAAGGGGGCCCGATGGTTTTGAGGTGGGCGGGCCCCCCGAGCTGGGGACATGGTATTCATCCATATTATATAAGTACATACATACACATACATACATACATACATACATACATGCATGCATACATACATACATACATACAGACATACATACATACCTGCATGCATATATGCACAAACATTCATACATACATACATACATACATACATACATGCATGCATGCATGCATGCATGCACACATACACACATACATACATATATACATACATATATACATACATACATACATACATACATACATACATACATACATACATACATACATACACACATACATACATGCATGCATACATATATACATACATACATGCACACATGCACACATACATACACACATACATACATACATACATACATACATACATACATACATGCATGCATACATACATACATACATACATACATACATACATACATACATACACACATACACATATGCATACATACATACGTGTATACATACATACATGCAGACACACACATACATAAATACATCCATACATACATATCCGGCGGCCCTCTTACGGGGCCACCAGGCTGTGAGGGTAAGTGTTGCAGTGCCCTGCGCCAGTGCCAGTTCACAATCTCCAATTTGATAACTCTACTTTCTGCTTCCTACTGTAAATTGTGACTGTCCGCGCGAGGGGTGGAAGCCGAAAACTACCCTGGCTACCCTCCCCGAGGAGGGTTCTCAAAATTTCCTGGGGGTCGTGGGACACGTAAAAACAAACGAGATCTGCACATCCGAGGCCAGAAGCCCTTCGCAAAATGCAGTGGGTTCGCGCTGCCGAGGCCAACACCCCGTACACTTTGTATAATACTAGCGCTGCCGAAGACACAATCCCTCGCACACTGCGCCATACTCGCGCTGTCGTGGCCACAATCCCTTGCGACCTGCGGTAGGTTCGCATTGCCGAAACCACGATCCCCCGCACATTGGACCAAATTCGCGCAGCTGGGGCCACAACCCCTTGCAAGTTGCATCATGTCCGCGCTGCCGAGGCCACAATCCCTAGCAAGTTGCACCGCATGCGCGCTGCAGAGGCAGTCCCTTGCTAATGCGCGCACGCTCGCGCTACAATCCCTTGCGCATTTGGCCATGGTGGCGCTGCCGAGGCCACAATCCCTTGCAATTTGCACGATGTTCGCTGCTGGGGCCACAATCCCTTGCAAACTGCACAGTGCTCGCGCTGCCGAGGCCACACTCCCTCACGAATTGCAATCGACTCGCGCTGCCGAGACCACGGTCCTTCGCACATTGCGCCATGTTCGCGCTGCTGGGGCCACAATCCCTTGCAAATTGCATCATATCCGCGCTGCCGAAGCCACAATCCCTTACAACTTGCACCGTGTGCGCGCTGCCCAGGCCACAATCCCTTGCAAATTGCGCCATGCTCGCGCTGCCGGGGCAACAATCCGAACGAATTGCTGTAGATTCGCGATGTCGAGGCCACAATCCCGATCAAATTGCACCATATTCGCGTTGAAGATGGTACAATTCTGGGCAAATTTCATCATCTTCGCGCTGCCGAGGCCACAATGCCGCACAAATTGCCCCATGCTCGCGCAGCCGAGGCTACAATCCCCTGCAAATTGGCGCATACTCGCGCCGCCGAGGCTACAACCCCTTGCAAATTCGGCCATCCCTTACAAGTTGTACCATATTCGTGCTGCTGAGGCCACAATCCCTTGCAAATTGCGCCACGCCCGCGCTGAGGCGACAATCCCTGGCAAATTGCACCAGAATCGCCCGTGGATCCACAATCCTTTGCAAACTGCGCCGTATTCGCGTTGCCGAAGCCACAATCCGTAGTAAGTTACGCAACAAGTGTGTTTCCGACAGTACGGTCGTAAACAAATTGTGCAATATTCGCGCTCTCGAAGCCACAACCCGTGCAACTTGCAATGTATTCGCGCCCCCGAGGCCACGATCGCTTGGAAATATTGAAGTATTCGCGTCTCCGAGGCCACGAGCCCTTGAAAATTACGCAATTGTCGCTTTCCCGAAGCCACGATCGCTTGCACATTACGCCATGTTCGCGTCCCCGAAGCCACGCTCCCTCGTAACATACGCCGAGGACCCCGGAGACCGTCCAAGCCGCGCGATTTTGCTCGACGTAGCCTCAGGCAGCCCGCAGTCGTCCCAAGTGGGCAGCCGATACCCAGCATGAGGGGAAATTCGCAAAAAGGCAGCACAGAGTTCAACGCTACCATCGGATTGTCAATTTGAAGATTGCCGATCGTCCCGCATGAGGTTTCGATACTGCTTCACGACGGCGCTCAGGCATCCCAACATGGCTCCTGCATTTTCCATTATGATGGAGAAGGGGGCCGGCGGCAGAGGGCGAAGCATTTACGGATATATACACACTAGAACCACGCGCGCGCTTCGCGCGCGCTTAGGTTCTGTCGAGTCACAGACCCAGGAATCGTTGCGAGAATAAATTGGTGACGCGAAGCGTCTTGGGGGCGTCCTTGGACGTCTGGGGTCTCCTGGGGCCTCTTGAGGGGCCTCCTGGGGGCCTCCTGGCGGCCTCTTGGGGCGGAAGGCTCGAGCTTGCGGTTCGTGGTCCCCCTCTGGGCCCCCTCTTGGGCCCGTCTTGGGCGCCTCTTGGGCCGTCTTGGGGCGCCTCTTGGGCCGTCTTGGGGCCCTCTTGGGCTGTCCTGGGGCCCTCTTGGAAGCTTCTTGGGCCGTCTTGGGGCGGTCTTGGGCGCCTCTTGGGCCGTCCTGTAACGTCGGAAAGCCCAAAAGACAACTTTGTTGAAAATGTACGTTTTACGAAGGGAATGGGCCAATTTTTGCGTCTAGGGGCCCTCTTGGGACGCATGTTGGAGGCTTCTTGGGGCCTCTTGGGGGCGTCCTTGGACGTCTGGGGTCTCCTGGGGCCTCTTGAGGGGCCTCCTGGGGGCCTCCTGGCGGCCTCTTGGGGCGGAAGGCTCGAGCTTGCGGTTCGTGGTCCCCCTCTGGGCCCCCTCTTGGGCCCGTCTTGGGGCCCTCTTGGGCCATCTTGGGCGCCTCTTGGGCCGTCTTGGGGCCCTCTTGGGCTGTCCTGGGGCCCTCTGGGAAGCTTCTTGGGCCGTCTTGGGGCGGTCTTGGGCGCCTCTTGGGCCGTCCTGTAACGTCGGAAAGCCCAAAAGACAACTTTGTTGAAAATGTACGTTTTACGAAGGGAATGGGCCAATTTTTGCGTCTAGGGGCCCTCTTGGGACGCATGTTGGAGGCT